TGGGTGGAAACTTACAGATTAAGGGGCGGTAATATTATAATGAGATCCCTTTGCCACGTCACCAAGGGAGCGAAATCAGACGCGCTGGTTTTCTCAGACGCTTGCAGAAAAAGGCTTACCAAAACAAAGTTACTGGGTTAATCTTTTTCACGTTTCCTTGGTTGGTAGATGCACGGGGTACCTGATTATAGCACTTAAAACCTGGAAAAGTCAGATTTTCATGATATGTCACCTTTAAGTTTCCCACTGGATATTCTGTGCAAATGCCATTTCATGCTGTTTTATTTTGTCTCTCCACGCAGCTCCACAGAGACCAGCGTAGAGAACGTCCCCTGATGCGACGCAAGTCCGAGCTGCCTCAGGATACCTCCACCACGAAGGCCCTGGAGACGCACCGGCGCGCCGAGGACATGATCGGTGCCCAGGATGGCCACTAGAGGACCACAGACGCCCGAAACCCAGTCCAGACCAGACCAGTCTCAGCCGGCGCCTTCAGCACAGATGACCAGCGGCGGAGGATGGCTCCGGTGTGACCCACAAACACACGAACCCATTCTGTCCAGAACCGACCGCGCCGGAGCCCATCCAGACCTCCTCGATCCGCGCTAGTCCAGTCCCGACTCATCCTCTTCTCCGCTTTCGTTTGTCCGTTTCTCTCTGTTAAAGGGATAGTTCACTCCAAAATGAAAATTCTGTCATTAATTACTCACCCTCATGTCGTTCCAAATAGGGCTGCACGATTAATCGCATGTGATTGTCATGCGCATCTCGTCAGTAAAGCCTCGTACTGACAAGCTACGCAGTATCACGTTCATAATCGCAGATGAATCGCCTTCAATTATGAACATGATATTGCGTAGCTTGTCAGTGAACTACGGCTCTGTGTAGTAAATGCCGCTCCATCTGAAAGCACGTGCTGGAGATTTACTACTAATCACAGAACCGGCTTTACTGACGAGATGCGCATGACAATCGCATGCGATTTTTCGTGCAGCCCTAGTTCCAAACTGCACCTGCAAAAAGGTGGAAAATTTCCAGTAAATTTCAGAAACGTTCCAGAAATTTTGGAAACTTTACAGGATTTTTTTGGAAGCTTCCAGGGATTTTTGGGACATTTACCGGAAATTTTCCACCCCTTTGCAACTCCATTCCAAACTCGTAAGATCTTCGTTCATCTTCAGAACACAAATTAAGATATTTTTGATGAAATCCGAGAGCTCTCTAACCCTGCATAGACAGCAGTGCAACTGAAATGTTCCCAGGCCCAGAAACGTAGTAAGGAACATCAGTGATTCAACCGTAATTTTACGAAGTTACGAGAATACCTTTTGTGCGCAAAGAAAACAAAAATAACGACTTTATTCAACAATTCTTCTCCTCCAAATCACGTATTCTGCCATTACGGAGAGTACCAAAACGCGTTCGCGCTTTCCCCAGAATGTAATCAATGTAATCAGCGTTGTTTACGTTCAGGAGGAAACGCGCGCATGCTAAACGTAAACAACGCTGATTACGTTCTGAATGTGTCGTGGTACTCTCCGTAATGGCAGAATACGTGATTTGGAGGAGAATTGTTGAGTAAAGTCGTTATTTTTGTTTTCTTTGCGCACAAAAAGTATTCTCGTAGCTTCGCAAAATTGAATTGTCACATGGACTGTTTTACCGATGTCCTTGCTACGTTTCTGCGACTGGCAACATTTCAGTTGCATTGCTCTCAATGCAGGATCAGAGAGCTCTCGGATTTCATCAGAAATATCTTCATTTGTGCTCCGAAGATGAACGAAGGTCTTACGAGTTTGGAACGACATGAGGGTGAGTAATCAATGACAGAATTTTCATTTTTGGGTGAACTAACGCTTTAAGCTGAACCGCACTTGTATTCGGGCGAGCGAACGATTCTCAGGTTGTTCGGAGGCCGAGAGCAGTGAGCCGCGTTCAGATTTCGCTCTCTTCTGTGGTTCTTGTGTCTGAAATGAAACGGGCTCGGTGTGTGTTTCACGTCACGCTTGCAAAATACCCTTCCGTTTTTGTCCAGATACTTGGCAATAAGTTGGTCCAGGGAGATTTTGGTTGTTCAAACAATGGTGAGCGGCCTTACGGTGGTTAATTAGTTTTTAGATGAGCGTTAAAGCTATATAACAGGCAATACCGAACGGTTTGTTTACCCAGTTTTTCGACCAAGCCTTTATTTGCATAGAGTGCCTTTTTAGATCGAGGAAAAAAGTATATTTCGTCTGAAATTTGCTGGTTTCGCTCGCAAGAAATGCGGTCAGAACGGGACCCGGAGAAGCCTGACAAAAGAGAAATTCTCCTGATAAACTTGAACGACTTTCTCTGACTTGTTTGTTTTCTTGGGTTTGGTTTAGGACGAATCTCTCTGAACCATTGTTTGAACTCCCATTGGGTTTGGTCTGGTCGGAGCTACGGTGCAGTTCTCTCTCTGCGGTCGTCCGGTTTTTATTCTCGGCCCGTATAAGCTCGTCTGTCCGATTTGAATGTGCAAATTTCAATAGATTAATATGCGTTATTTTTCTCTCTCCCGACCTTTCTCTTGGGTTTTTAATTTAAACTCCTTCCTCTTTCGGCTGTTGTGCGAAAATCGAAAAACATAGTCTACGAAAGATGATTTTTCTCGCTGGTGTCAATAGCATAACTTGCGTTCTTTTTCCAGCTGGAAGCTTTCATTGTGGTGAATTTCACTTTCCGTTTCGTTTCATGAAAGAAAATACAACTGCAAAGTGTCCTTTAGTATGCGTCCCCCTACTAAACAGCTTCATCTGATATTGTACATATTATGTACTGTTATGATCCATCTATTATTGAATGGTAGATCTCTTATTTTGTACAAATTTTCTCGTGTACAGATGAAAACCGTTATTAGCCACTTGACAGACTTCTGTAACTGCGTTAGAAACGTTTAGGTTTTAATTTCTAATGTTTTTCTTTTTTTACTATTTGTAATTGAGAACTTTTCTGTCTCTGCATTCAGCTGTCTGATGAGATCCATCATAAAATAGCCTTCATATGTGCTTTTCTCCAAATCTCAAGTGGTATATGTCTATATACAGGAAATAAAGAAAACGTGTTTTATATTTTCATCTTACAAGAACGTGTTGATTGTATTCTGTGTTGAAGCGTGATTGTGACTGACATTTTAGCTCTAAAAAAGGCTTTTCTCATTCACTGAAATCTTTAAAGTTTGATTGGATGCTTTAGATTTTCATTTACTCGAGTGTTGAGTGCTAAATCCAATATGCATCATTTATAATTACATTTTAGAGAAGCTCCTCATAATTGGGACCGAAAATGAGTGGTGGACATTTGATTACTTTTTATTTAACTGTAATTTCAGTGGTAATTCTCATGAAATACTCAAGAACGGAATGGGAAAATTTCAACAATACAAATAATAATAATAGTCTCCTAACACTGGCTTTTGTTGATCAGAATAAAAATTATTTAAATTTTGGGGGTTAATTATTTTCCACTATTTTCTACTCCCAAGAAGTGTAATATAACAAAATTACTAAAACATTAAAATGAAAACAACATATTCAAAATGTTAATAAATGCTATAATATTATCACAAAGATATTAAAATAACACTGCTGTCAAATCCAAATGACTGGTTGAAATGTTCACGATATTGCCTTGAAATAGTGACCCATTAAGTTTCCACTATATTCATATTAAATTGGTTTTGCTGCCCTTTCACGCCACCTTGTGGTTTCCAGCGATCATACTTAAAGGCATAGTTCACCAAAAAATGAACTTTTGGTCATCATTAACTTAGATTTGTGTTTCTTAAAACCCTCTAAATGTACTTTCTTATGCGGGAAAATAGTTGAGATGTTAGGAACAATGTAAGGGACTTATGATCTCAGTCCCATTCACTTTCATTGTTTTGGAAAAAAAAAAAGATGCAGTTAAAGAGAATGGCAAACCACATCTCCTTTGTGTTCCGCGGAAGAAAGTAGGTCGTATGTTTTATTTATTTATTTTATTTTTGAGGGAACTGTTCCTTTAAGAGATGGGACCTATCTCTCAATTAAATGTGAAACATGTTGACAGTTTAAAATACTTGTTTTGTTTTTTTCCCAAAGTTTTTTTGTTTTCACCTAAAAAAATTAATTTGCTGACACAAAACGTTTTTATTTATTTATTTTCTACTTTACATTATTCATATTTCAACCTCAACCTTGCGTGGAAACGTCATCAGGTGCCAGCGCTTGTCCAATCACGGTGCACCCTCTGGCAGCGCGCGCATAGCGATTTGGCCAGAAATGGCGCGCTTTTCTGAGGTAAGGCGATTTTACTTCAAGACATTATCGGTTATTATTATTATCGGTAAGTACGTTTACATTCGCAGTTATAGGCGAACTTTAAGTGGTTATCTCTCTGTCCAAGTGTAACGACACGACGCTTAATCGAATATTTGAAGGATTGAATGCGGGTCGAGCGATTACCTCAGTTTTTTGGCGCACATGACGGTGAGACCGATTGTACACGATCTTAATGACTTATAAAAGTCACTAAAGTGAGAGTAATAACATAAGATAAGGGTGATGTTTACCTACAGTTAACATCGGAAGAAAAGAGACCCAGAGATTCACAAACATTTCTGTCAGCCAAACTTCCTTGACCTAAAATATTCACTTAACGTTAAAATCCGCCTGACGTTTTCAATAATCAGCACATTGATGTTGCTTAAATGGTCACATGACTTAAACAAGGTAAATATTTCATCAAGCTGTATGAGATGTTCAGTTCACAAATGTTGGATCACTCCGGTGTCTTGTTTAATTGCCATATTTTAATTACCGCCCTATTTAGGTACTTGCTTAAAAGTACCATGTTCCTATGTTATGATTTTTTTTTTATGCATTTGAAAAAAGTTTCTTCTGCTCACCTAGGCTGCATTTATTTGATTGATCAAAAATGCAGTAAAATGTGTGAAATAGCTGTTTTCTATGTGAATATCTGTTCAAATTAGTGCTGTCAAACGATTAATCGCAATTAATTGCATCCGAAATAAAAGTTTTTGTTTACATAATATATGTATATGTACTATGTTTATTTATTATGTATATAAATACACACACATGCATGTATATATTTCAGAACATTTTTATTTTTAAGTATAATATAAATTATGTGAATATAAATATAGACATGTAAATATTTTCAAAATATATACTGTATGTGTGTGTATTTATATATACATAATAAATATACACAGCACACACACACATATTATGCAAACAAAAACTTTTATTTTGGATGTGATTAATCGTTTGACAGCACTAGTTAAACTGTAATTTATTTCTGTGATGCGCAGCTGAATTTTCAGCATCATTACTCCAGTCTTCAGTGTCACATGATCTTCAGAAATCAGTATAATATGCTGCTCAATTATTATAAACAGTGTTTAGTAGTGATGGGAGAAATTGAACCTTTTCGAAGCTTTGAATCAATTGAACCTTTGGCTTCGCGAAACGATTCAATGTTTCGAAGCGCTCGAAACACAACGAAACATCAAAAGTGCGTAAATGCAACAAAAACATGCATGAAAACAGCTTTTAAAATCCCATTGAAAGTATAAAACATTAAATGCAATAAAAATAATAAAATACCATTAAATATGAAGTGCTTGTCTGTATAATAGCCTATGTGTTTTTTTAAATAATATTAAATTGCAGGGCTTGTTTTATGGAG